ATATATATATATATATATATAAGCTGAATATTTAAAATACAACGTTATTACTCAACTGTGGGTTCTTTGAGGTGGTTAACTGAAGTAGAACTCGGATTAGATAAGTGGTTGATGAATGAAAGGAAGGTGAAAGGACCAATGGAATCAAAGAAACCGTGTTATTTTTGATTTTCTTTGCTACAGAACATGTGCTATTTAGGTGATAATTTTGTATTGCCTGATAGAGGAGTGGCGTCATGGTTGCGTTATTTATAAATGTGGCACGTATGACTGTGTGCTTTTTAACTTTAATGGCTTTTGAAGCTTTCAGGGCTTTCGTGCAACGGAACAGCAGTAAGCTTAGTTTATTTCAGATGATTATATTTTCGTTATGGTATCCTGTTTTATGATGCAGAAATTACGCGCCTGTTACTGTCAAGTTTTGCGGTCTTCATTTAAGCTTTCTTTTCTAACAAGTACTTCCGTTAAGTATCTGCATGTTCATTGTTCCAAGCGTTTTCTTCTTTATCACTGAATAAAAAACAAGTGGTTTTTTGTTTGCGTGAACGTAAAGGGGATAATTTTTCTGACCGTGTTGTGATGGTTATAGGGTGGTGGAAAAAAGGTTGAAGGAAATTCAAAAAGTGAGCTTGAGTAAGCTTTCTGAATGGTTTAATCACTTGTGGTCGGATTGTGCTTGGTTTTGTTTCCTTTTTATGTTGCTGAGTACTTATTAACCATTCAAAATAAGGTTGTTTTATATGCTTTGTTACTAACACTGTTCACTCTTTTTCCTTTTGGCGCATTTGATGTTTATTTGTGGTTCTTCCTTCATTACGATTACCGAATGTGTTAATTATCATTGGGTAACGGCTTTCGGTCTTTTTGCCCAAGCTGATAAATAACAGTTGGCACGAGGGAGCGAAAAAGGATCTATTTTGACTGGTTAAGTTGCCGGGATTCGTAACTGAGGACCGCTGGGATTGTTTGTTGTCAGTAGTTGACTCACTTGTACATCTGTTATGTTTTTCAGGAAATTATGAAATCATTTTTTTTTTTTTTTTTTTTTTT